TGTGCACAAGAAGATTCACTTTACCATGCAATCAAATCTTCATTACTGCACAATAGAATTCATATTTCTACCAAGCATATATGTCATATATTTAATAAATTAATTTGTCTTTTAATAATACTTTGTCACCTGAATATACAATTTCATATGTAATTGAATCAAATGAAGACATCTCAACTTAATTTATTAAAACCCCATAATTTATGGCCATCGCTAAATTGACAGCCCTATTTCCAGAGACTTGGCTTATATATCCATCTTGAATGCTAATTTGTATTTTAGTTAGATTTTTGACCAGTAACTTAAAGAATATTTGTGAGCTTGCTTTTTATTAAATAACAGATAGAAGTATCAGCAAGATTTATATGGAAGAAATTAAGTGACATTCATCAAGTAATATTCATGCCACATAAACATGAAGAAGCAGTTTATTATTGCTGGTGTATGTCACCATAATTTAAATTTTAGTCGAAGGTTTAATTGAAATTGTGTTCCGCTCTGAATGGGAGCACCTGATTTTTCTTGATTTTGTACAACTATTGAACACCAGGGAGCAAACGAAGAAGTGAGCTCTAAGCAGATGACAATGTTCAGCATAATTTTCAAAAAATCATTCAAGCTTCCTAAATTATGAGAATTGAATTTGTTTGCATAAATGCAGTGCACATACATTTTATTACAGCTGAGGCTTACTATAATCACTTGATTTAATGCACAAATCTTTTTAAGGCCACAACTAGAATTCATGTCCTGATTTTGTGCTTATTTGTTTGTGTGCATTGTTACCCACTTTTGCTTGTTTTAGTATTTTAATTCAGGGTTACATAAAAATAGAAAAATGTTTTTATTATGTAGTAACATTCTGGGACAGAACAAATTATACATTTGTTCATTTAGAGCTGTGGCACTTGCTTCAAATATTTCAGGATATGTATATTTTATATGTATGAGGACAATTTGAATACATATTCCATGTAAGAGTTTTGACTTATATTACCACACTAAAATTGTGTTCACTCTCTGATTTTTTTAGGACTGTTGAAATTTACATTTTTTTTTTTTTAGCATCTCTGTTAACAGTTTCATGATCAGTATTTTATCTTTATTTTGTTACATACATAGAAAGATATATTATAATGTATTTTGTGTGTAATATATATATGTATATATATATATATAAAATTTAACATTATGTTTACTATAAATGTGTGCAAGGTAAAGTTCTCTCTGTACAAACATATAAATTGTTGTTTTAGCTGAAATAATTATTTAAATGGAAATTGCCACTTAACCAGGAATTTTAATATTACCTTTACTTATTCATATATTTAACAAATATGAATTTGTGAGATATGAAAAAAATATAATTGTATTAGTTTATTATAAAAAAAAAAAGTAATATAACATTTAATTTTAAAATCCAAATCTTTTATTCATTGGGATAAATTCCCATTTAACGTTCTCCTTTAACACATTTTCAATGAAAGTTCCCCACCAATTCTATTTTTAAATGATCTGCTTACAGATAGCAAATGACTGAAGTGCATGGCTGATTTTTGGTTCACGTTCACTTGTTTCTCGTTTTTTTCATCCATATATTAGTTAATTCTTGCTTCGTACAAATAAACCGTTGCTTTAAATTTGGGCGATTCACATTTGTCCGGCAACAAATGTTCAAGAATAAGAAATATGATGACTTTTTCTGGACCTCATTTCAAATGAGCATAGTGCTGTAAAAAATATGTAATTTCCTTATTGAAGTGATTATGGTAAAAAAATCCCAGCAGTCATTCTAAAAGTTTAATTACAGAGAAAAATACATATGTAGGGTGCTTCCTGGGCTGTAAATCAGCCAGCTGGAATTCTCAATTCCAGACTGGTAGGATCAGGATGCATCTTTTACATCTGGTGCCGGCACACATAGTAGGCTAACCCTAGATGCCATGGAGAGGCTGGGTGAGTTGCACACACAGTGTCAAAGTTCCTGCTGCCAAACAAAGGAAATTGGAATCTTTGATTAACACCCTGATAAAGAAAAGACAACCACACACCTGCTATAGTTTTTGATGTCTGCCCTTCCTAGGTACAACGATCAGAGAAAAAAACACACAAGCCATCCTGTTGGAATTTATGTCCCTTTGAATTGAATGAATGTAAGATGGGCGTGCCTTGGCCTGTGACTTGAATGGCCACCATTTGAGTGAGCTCCAGGGACACTTGATCTATACCATTCATAAAAAGCTTTCTATTTCATTTTAAATTGAGTAGAATTCATCTTTGCAGTTCATATACTAACACTGATTATAAAGAAACAAAAGAAATATGAAGCTGCTACTGCTGCTTTAACCCCTTAAGGACTGATGATGGTTCGGGGATCGCTTCCGCCGAGATCCCACTGTTACTATCTGCCAGGCATTTGGCATGTGCAGATACACATGTATCGTAATTGCACTACCAGAGTAGCGCCACTTCCTTGTAGAGGTAATAGGGAAAGAATCCTGGTGCAGAAAGAGGTTTGCTGGATGTACCTCTTGGATACGATGTCACCTCATTGTCTTAATAAGAAGCTTGAACGGCACTGGTTCCTCTAGGTACTTCAGCGAACTGCCGCTGAAAAGCTAAAGTGTCCTGGAGCGGGTGTGTATAAAATATAAAATATTACATCTTCCTATGTCTTATGCCTTATTCTTATACCTTTCCATGTCTTTTGCTTTATTTCTTCCGAGGATAGTAATAGTCTTGCACTTTGTTACTCTAAGCTATTTGCACAGGATTAGGCACCCTGTATCCCCTAGTACCTAATTGGTAATGGGTGGTTCTTTTCCTTATTACATATCTAGTATATATGGGTATAACATTATATACTATACTTTTGCAGTTTCTTTCTTCACACACTGGGTATTATAATCACTTTTCATTCAAATTCTATTATGTGACTTCCTGTATTGTAATTTTATTCTTATGACCTGTTTTTGATATATTCCACATTTGAGGTATATCTCTTTAAATGTTGTTTATATGTAGCTTCATGTATTGCGATCTGTATAATGAATGTCTGTATTGTATACTCATTTCCTAGCAACGTCATGACGTCTTACGCAGCGTGGGTGCTTGACATCCGACGTCATGATGTCACACCCACACTTGCCAGAAACCGGAAGAGAGCTCCAAGATGGTGGAGGGAGGCCAAATAATGAGAAACAGCTGCACTTGATCTGTGGGTGGGGCGGTACCTGGATTCTTAATTTATTGCACATTGTATATAAACTGGTGAGTGTTACTGCATGTTTAAGGACATTTGCATTGAAAAAGGGCTTGTGTTTTTTTTTTTTATTCTTTATTTATGTCAAAGTCCGACACCACAACAAGGTATACAACACAATTCAAATGCGTACAGTAACACGTATACATATCATCATTAGTTAGGAAACGTATAGTTGCGTATTTTCATAAAAACAGCCTGTAACAATTTAACGGACTGTGGCTTGTTGACTATAAAAGTCCTTATATAGTGGCGTCCCACCCGTTTTTAAATTTTTATTTTATATATGTGTGCCCCTTAACCATTAAGCGTGTATAGCCAGAATAGCGATTACGAGCAGTTCAGAACACTCCCGCTTATGATAACTGATACAGCACATTTTAAGACATAGTACAGAATAGCTTGAGAATAACAGAGTTATAGCTTGCACACCCTCAGAAGCATTTAGATATATACTGCTATCTTGATCTTTTTCCACACTTCACAGGGACATCCCTGCATATGCATGGTACATGTCCACAGTGGAGCTTCATCACAGGAACAAGTTAGCACCATGTCCATAGCCTAGGTACCCTGTGCCCCTACACCACCTTTCAAGAGATAAGTAGGATGCTATGTCGCAGGATTTAGGTGCATCCGAGGCGGTACCCTTCTTAGTTCGGCACCGTACCCTACTAGTGAGGGTCCCGGTGGCGAACCACAGGAAAGAGTAAAGACAAGAATAGAGTAAAGTAAAGAGAAGAGTAACGAAATAAGAAGACCTGCGAGTCTCACTGATATCAATCATATTGCTACCTAAATAAGTCATACGGGGCAGTAAGGCGTCAAGGAGAAGGCTGCAAGGGAGGTTGAGCCCCGGGAAGGGAAAGGGCTCGAGGCCCATGCCCACCCCACTCTGCCCCTCCTTAGCTCCCCCGGTGCCCCAAATGTTTGCCTGACTTTTATGTCCTTCAAATAAATGCTTGGTAGCACATTGGTGCACACTACAACTGAAAGCGCAGACTTCATTTTTTCTATGGTAATGGTAAAGATAAAATCTCACAGGGATGGAGTGTATAGTATGAATTGAGATGATACTCTAATTGGACTAAGTGGGGTTCCCGCCAAATGACCCCAAAATGCAAACTAAGAATAGGGTATTAGATATAAATCTAATAATTTGTCAATGATTTTTCGGCACTCACCGCCAATTGTTACCAAGTTGGAATTGGAACGCATAGAAGGCTGTACGGTGACACGCACGCGGCTCCTGGCAGCGTTTCTCCATAACCGGCCGGACTGAAGGACCCGTGCTATGCTGTCCCTAACAAACATTCATCTTTCCCCATCCACTTGGTACAGACTGTGTTTTTTTTTTTTCGTAAATAGCGCTTTTTTTCCAGTTCAAATAATAACAGGTAGCAATATGATTGATATCAGTGAGACTCGCAGGTCTCAGTCAGCATCTTACATGAGCACCACATGTGCCAAGTGTAACTTTATACAATTCTTCTGTATGCGGTAGAATGCTGGCCTATAATATGTAGGACATACAGGTTTTGCGTTTGTTCTCCTACCAGTTGGTTGTTAGTGCGGTAGGTCTTGAGTTAACATCCACTTACGTGGAGGGCGAGATGAGGGTCAGTCTTACGGGTCAGAGTCCTGTAGTCTTGCACCGGGTCTGGGTCTCCCTCGTCTGTCTGCCCTTTCCCTAGCGTCTTCCGCGTTTGGGTCTTTACTCAGTTCTCTCCCGGAGCATCTACCATCTTGTTCTGGGTCCTCATCCGTTCCTCGTTTACGAGACGGTGCCATTATAGAGGAGGCTCAGTAGTGCGTTTGGTCGTTGCTATCGTCCTGCTTCCTTATAGGCGGTGTTTGGTGTAGTTATCCAGTCACTAACTACATTAGGTATCTGTGATGTGTCTGGAATGTTCCCCCCACTTTGGGTGGGGGTGTTGTGGTGTCGCGTTGTCCGGTTGTGTCTACCTTCATTAGTGATGTCGCGAACCCGAAATTTTCGGTTCGCGAACGGCGAACGCGAACTTCCGCAAATGTTCGCGAACCGGCGAACCGCCCGAAACGCCATTGACTTCAATGGGGAGGCGAATTTTAAAACACACAGGGACTCTTTCTGGCCACAATAGGGATGGAAAAGTTGTTTCAAGGGGACTAACACCTGGACTGTGGCATGCCGGAGGGGGATCCATGGCAAAACTCCCATGGAAAATTACACAGTTGATACAGAGTCTGGTTTTAATCCATAAAGGGCAGAAATCACCTAACATTCCTAAATCACAATCAATATGGATTGACACCTGACATATGACATATTGACACCTTGACATATGGATTGACACCTGTCCTCAGAGCCCCTGATGCACACGGACACAGAGCAGAATAGAGACTGGTCCCCTACATAGGGTCACTTGGCAGATATGGATTGACACCTGTCCTAAGGATCCCTGATACACACTGACACAGAGCAGAATAGGGACTGTTCCCCCTATATCGGGTCACTTAGCAGATATGGATTGACACCTGTCCTAAGGTTCCCTGGTACACACTGACACAGAGCAGAATAGGGACTGGTCCCCTACATCGGGTCACTTGGCAGATATGGATTGACACCTTGTTACAAACTGCTATTTGTAACGGGCCCTTTAAATGGCAAATTGCCCTGCTTCCCTGGGTTGTGGAGAAGCCTGTTTGCCAGCCTCCTCCCACATGACTATGGCCCCTGGGAGATTGTGAAAATGTATGCACTTTTATTTGGTGTGTATGGCCCTTTAAGACTGTCGGTGGGCATATTGGGGCTTATGGACTCTTTATGTGACTGGTGCTGGCCCTTTAAACACCTTTTTTGGGACATCAGGAAGATTGGGACACTGCCCCTTTAAGGCCGTGTCCCCAGACTTGTTGGGGACACGGCCCCTTTAAGACGGTGTCCCCTGTGTCCCCAGACCTGGTGCAAACCCTTTGTGCCTGCCTTGCTATTTCCCACTTGGTTCAGTAAATGGGAAATTATTTCAGCTGCAGAGACTAAGTCCCATTCGGCGATGGGACTTAGTCTTTTTTTCAGCCGTTTTTTTCAGCCTTATTTCAGCTGCAGAGACTAAGTCCCATTCGGCGATGGGACTTAGTCGTTTTTTCAGCCTGAAATAGACCGACCTCACAGCCAAATCTATGGAACTGTTTTGGGCAGGAAAATGTGCTTGCGGTCGGTCATAAAGAGACCTCCAGCTAACTTTTTAACCCCTGGATGTATTTGGCTGATTTTTGGTTATGTTTATGTTTTAAGTGTGCTGATTCCAAATATGTAATTATGAAGATGGGATGTGTAGTTTTAAAGTTACAGGGTATGGCTAAAAACTGTATTTTTACTGCCTGTGTTTAATTATGTTAATCTCTTCCCAAACGTCATTTCGTTCAAAGTGGAGAGAATGTTAAAAAAATATATTTTTGTTCGGAGTGTAAGAAATGCTTTTGTTCTGATCAGTTTAATACCTTCTGCGTCTCCTATCAGTGGACGTGTATATGGCAGCCATTTTAGGAACCGTACACCTGGGACCCGAGCAAGGTCACCTCGTTCAACAGGCTTGCAGCGTATCCTCCAGGAAGAAGAGCCTGAACCCTTACGGGCTGCACGTGTCTTACCTGTACATGGAAAGCTGCTCTGGTTCCTTGATGAGCCAGCTGCCCGTGAGTTAACATGTCCAGTGGAGAAGCACTCTGTCCTGTAAAGCCTCACCAAAAAAAAGGAGTGGTGTGTTTAGTATTGTTCTGATCAGTTTAATACCTTCCGCGTCTCCTATCAGTGGACGTGTACACGGCATTGATTTTTATCTAAGCCGTAAACTTTTGCACAGCAAAGTATATTCACTGCCATTGAAAAGGAGTGCATGGCGGTGGTGTGGGCCCTCAAAAAGCTGCAACCTACTTGTATGGACAACGTTTACCTTACTCACAGATCACATTAAATTTGGGGCACTGCGCGGTCAAGCTAATGTGACACCAGATAGGAGTGGTGTGTTTAGTACTATTTTTATCAGTTTAATACCTTCAGCGTCTCCTATCAGTGGACGTGTACACGGCATTGATTTTTATCTAAGCCGTAAACTTTTGCATAGCGAAGTAGATTCACTGCCATTGAAAAGGAGTGCATGGTGGTGGTGTGGGCCCTCAAAAAGCTGCAACCTACTTGTATGGACAACCGTTTACCTTACTCACAGATCACAACAAATTTGGGGCACTGCGCGTGCAATCTAATGTACCACCAGATTGGAGTGGTGTGTTTAGTACTATTTTTATCAGTTTAATACCTTCCGTGTCTCCTATCAGTGGACGTGTACACGGCATTGATTTTTATCTAAGCCGTAAACTTTTGCATAGCGAAGTAGATTCACTGCCATTGAAAAGGGGTGCATGGCGGTGGTGTGGGCCCTCAAAAAGCTGCAACCTACTTGTATGGACAACCGTTTACCTTACTCACAGATCACAACAAATTTGGGGCACTGCGCGTGCAAACTAATGTGCCACCAGATAGGAGTGGTGTGTTTAGTACTATTTTTATCAGTTTAATACCTTCAGCGTCTCCTATCAGTGGACGTGTACACGGCATTGATTTTTGTAACAGGGAGATGGAAGAAGAGGCTTGGTCGGTCCTCTTACTGCAAATTTGGGGCACTGCGCGGTCAAGCTAATGTGACACCAGATAGGAGTGGTGTGTTAAGTACTATTTTTATCAGTTTAATACCTTCCGCGTCTCCTATCAGTGGACGTGTACACGGCATTGATTTTTATCTAAGCCGTAAACTTTTGCATAGCGAAGTAGATTCTGCCATTGAAGAGGTGCATGAAAGCGGTGGTGTGGGCCCTCAAAAGCTGCAACCCTACTTGGCCATGGACAACCGTTTACCTTACTCACAGATCACAACAAATTTGGGGCACTGCAGCGTGCAATCTAATGATATACACTAGATTGGAGTGAATTGTGTTTTAGTACTATTGTTATCAGTTTAATCACTGTTATGTCCCCTATCCGTTGATGTGGAGCAAGACGCAGCAGCAGAAGAGGACTAAGCCGAGGAGGTTATGAAGAGGATGGAGTAGGAGGAGTAGAGGAGGTGGCAGCGTACTGGCAGAGTACACGCTGTAGGGCTGACACACCTGCTTGAAGATAACTAACTGCTATTCAATCTATAACAGTGAAAAAAGTTTTTTGTTTTTAAATCCAAGCTATTGTGACACCAGTGAGAGAGTGGTGGCACTGGGCACAGTATCCACTGTGAGCCTGACACACCCGCTTTGAGACAACTAACTGCTATTCAATCTATAATTGATGTTTGTTTCACAGGCAGAAAGTGCCCTAAAACATGGCGGCTTGAAACCTAGTTGGTGGCGGATCAGTCACGCAAGTCAACAGGCATTCAGAGCTAAAATACAGCAGCGTGTGGACAATTTTTAGCCCAAGGCAGCTCATCTCATCAGGCCTTTTTTACATAGGGTCACTTGGCAGATATGGATTGACACCTGTCCTAGGGATCCCTGATACACACTGACACAGATCAGAATAGGGACTGTTCCTCCTACATCTGGTCACTTGGCAGATATGGATTGACACCTGTCCTCAGAGACCATGATACACACTGACACAGAGCAGAATAGAGACTGTTCCCCCTACATAGGGTCCTTGGCAGATATGGATTG